AGACACATATCTGGCAGGCAGAATGGCCGAAAGCCTTTTTAAGCCTCAGAATGTGCTGTCATCTTGCTGTCATAATCCTGATAAGTAACATAAATACAGTGATCACTACAGCCAGACACTGTGCCAAGAACATAAACGTATCACATCACCCAATCTGTGAAGCAGGTGCTACCCATTTTACAGATTACAGAACTGAGGTACAAAGCCACATAGACTGTAAGAAGTGGAGTCAGGACCTCAATTGAGGCTCTGGCTCTTTGCTCTTCTGCTCTTCTGCCACCTAAGCAGAAGCAAATAGGGAAAAGGGCTTGCAAACCACTGGTTTTAAATTGCTTTGGGTAATATAGACATTTTCACAATATTGATTTTGTCAATCCATGAACATGGGGGATCTCTCCATCTTCTGATGTCCTCTTCTATTTCTTTCTTCAGTGATTCACTGTAGAAGTCTTTCACTTCCTTCATTAAATTTATTCCTTGCCCTTGCCCTCACACTGTGTGATCACTTAGGTTAAACCTCTTCAGGCCACAAGTGTCATCTATAGAGAGAAGTAGGAATAGTTACAGTTCTGCAGGACTGTTGTGAAGATAAATAGAATAATGTATTTAATTAGCACAGGGGCCTGGCACATAGGAACTGCTGTCTTAATATTAGCAATTACCATGATTAACAGACTGACAGTGTCCCAACATAAATCCTGTGAGGCAGGGACAAGACAGGGACCAACCCAAAATTAAAGCTCAGTTGTCCTGGGTAGCTATTCAAAACCCTTGCTTATACATGGCTTCTATTTAACTTGTAGATGCAGGACAAGACTTTTAATAATAAAAAGACAGAATTCTGTAAGCATCTTTTACCCTACCTGGTAAATTTTAATGAAAAATGATGGATCGGGTTGGGCACAGTGGCTCACATCTGAAATCCTGGCTACTAGGGAGGCTGAGAGTGGGAGATCACAGTTCAAGGCAAAAAGTTAGGGAGACCCTATTTCAAGTGACAGACAGGTGTGATGGTGTGTACATGTCATCTCAGCTACTCAGGAAGTCTAAATAGGAGGACTGTGGTTCAGGCTGGCCGGGACCCTATCCCAAAAATTACTAAAGCAAAAAAGGGCTCAAGTGTCTCAAGTGGTAGAATAACTGCCTAGCAAGCACAAGGCCCTAAACTCAATTCCTAGAACCACTTAAAAAAAAAAAAAAGATGGATCAGAAGCCCATAGGAAACTTTCTCAAACCCCTCCTGCACTCCTCTCATCCCACATTGAAATCTACTACCAAAATATCTGCTGACAGGAGGAACATCAAGTCACATTTCTGCTTTCAAGCGCCTGTAATGGGAACAATCCTATAGGCAAGAGGACTCACTGGGTCTCTGTTAAATCCTCCCAGCCAAGTGATTTCTTGCCGCTCTGGCTTCCTTGGCCTGAAGCTACCCTCCTTTTTTAATTTTAAAATCATTGGTGAAACAACTATAGGTTATGTATTACTGGAGATATACCTTGTGTACCCTTCATCATATTTCCCTCGAGTAACAATTTGCAAATCTCAAATACAACTAAACAACCAGAATATGAACACTGATATAATCCACCTAAGATATTCAGATGCCTCAGTGTCTTTGCACTCGTTTGTGGGGTGATAAGTGCATCTGCATTCAATTTCATACAGCTCCTCACATGTACAGGTTCATGTAGCTAAGAAACTCAACAGGGATCTCCTGTTGCCCTTTTAAAACCACACCCACCTCCTCCCAACGCCCTATCCCTAACCCCTGGCAACTGTTATTTGGTTCTCCATTTATACACATTTGCCCTTGCCATATTATATAAGTAGAATTCTGCAGTATCTTTTGGGATTTTTTTCAGATCATATAATTTCCTTGTGATTCACTGAAGTTCCTGTATGTATCAAGTTTGTTCCTTTTAATTACTAAGAGCAATTTGTGGTATGGATGTACCACTGCTGAAAGATATGTGTCATTTTCAGTTTGGGCTATTACAAATAAAGCTGCTCCGCACGTCTGTGCTCTCCTCTTTCTTTTCTGATCACTAATTGATGCAGATGCTCCTACTTCACTGAGGTCTTTATTCCTGCAGTGGCAAACATAACTTGTCACCAAACTGTCCTTTCTTTGCCAAGTCCTAGCAGCTCTGGATAACCTGATCAGATGCTTCTATATGGATGTTATCACTAGATATCTGAGCCTTTCCCTTAAAGAAATAAAATAAGCATGTTTGGGAATCACACAACCAGACTCATGCTACAGAGGTTTTACTGAACATAGTTGTGAAATTTAAAAATGCCGCGAACCTGTTCCATAATTTTAATGTAGTTATCAAGGTTCCTTTATTGACAGCTCATGGTGGCAATGTAAGGTGATACTAAAAACAGGAACTCAGGTACCAAACCATCTGAGTTTAAATACTGGCCCTACCACTTATAGCTCTGTGACCTCAGGCAAATTACTTACCCTCTCTGTGCCTCTGTTTTTCCATCTGTAAATGGGCATGTTAATAGGGTAGATGTGAGAATTAAATACAATTATTACCTATATGTCCAGAACAGTGTCTGACACATACTGCTCACTAAGCATTATCTCATACTGTTACATGGCAGGCACTCTTCTATGCATTTTACATAGATTTAACCTATCGATGACTTTATAATACAATTATTATGTGACTGATTTTACAGATAGTAAAACTGAGTTAAACTGGGGGTGCCACTGCCCTGCCCCCAGAGCAGTTATGAGAATTAAGAGAAAAGTATATACCATGGTGGTAGATACTGAAACTGCTCCCCACACTAGTTCCCTTTTCAGCTTCTGGTTGTTGTTGAACTATAGTTCTACAGACAGCAGAAAGTGGTCCCACACCACCAAAAGTAGCAATGTGAGAGTACTGATAGATGCATCTGCTGACCTAACTGGACAATCACAACCAGATCTAGGGCAAATCCAAACAACACAGTTATAGTTCATTAAAACAGGGCAGCAGCCTCCCTTCCTTCCCCAAAGGGCACTGCAGCTTCAACACAGAGGACTCTGCAGGCAGCAACACAGGGCAGGAGCGACTGCATTGTTTCCCCAGCACTTAGTCCAGTGTCTGGGAGGCTGTAGCCTCTTCATAAAAACGCAAAACATGGTATGATTCTGACCTAACAAAGAGGCTTCAAGGAGTTATTCTTACGGGCCTCAGTGTCCCTAGCTGTGAAGCAAAGGGTTTCAACCATCTGAGTTCTCTCCAGTTCTGCATTCTCTGTTGGTAGTAAAGCTCCACTAGCCTTTTTCTTTCTCTCCACCTTCCTCCTTCATTTCTTTTTCTTTTTGGACCAAAAAAAAATTTCCTACCATGTGCTAGACCTATGCTAGAACTCAAATAATGAGTTAGGAACTCAATGGTGCAAGATAATTATTATTTACTGAATGCTACACATTATATTCTATTCCTAGTTTGAAACTTTTGCTTCATAAACTATGAAGCTTGACTTACTCTTAATGATATATGTGGGAGAGAGAAACACTAAGAGAAGTCCTTTAATTCTGACAGAAACAGTTACAATTGTTATGTAGACAATTCAGATTTAAACAGATTTGGCTGAAATTGCCAATGTCAGTGCAACAGTTACTCAGGTGGGACTGGCTGGTAGGAACTGTGACAAACTTCAAGTTTATTCCAACTTACAAGTGTAGAAATTAAGTATATTGCTGAATTCATGGTCAAGTTAGGAAAACAACTTCCACTTTAGAACTAGTTTAAGATTACATGCCAGAATGTACAGAAAAAGATAAGTGTGGGGCAACAAGTAGGAACAGATTATAGTTTCTTTCAATTCAGTCTCTGTGCCAATGAGAAAGTTAAATGTCTGAACAGTTCAACATTGATTTGTAAGGGTAAACTGATCACAGGAGCCTTCCTTTGCCTAGTTCAAAGGATAGATAAGTTGAGAGAGTATTTTCCCCTGATGAGTCAATTGGGGAAGAGATAGACAAAAAGGGAGACTTTGGGATTTGGCCAGACGAAATAATAAGCAAGAACGGGGCCTCAAATAAAGTAGGACAAAATGATCAGACCAGTGCTTGAGGAGTATTTGGATGCAGTTGAAAAGTCACACAAGTGAGCAAGCTTTCTGAATTCCTTTTATGTATTCCCAGAGGCCTTGATGACATGTTAACTAAGAGGTTTGTCATTTTTAGAACTTCCTCATTTCTCAATTGCTTCATTTTTAAGCCTTTTATGAAAATTAACATAAAATAATTTAAAAAATAACATAAAATATTATGTCAGGTTAAGACATAATATTTTAATCCTTGATACTTGTGAAATATCACACTTATGAGTGAACACAATTATATTTTATTTTTAAATTTTTAAAGATGAGGGCAGAGCTCACAAAAGTTATCCAAATCATTAAAAGTTGAAGAACATTTTTTAAAAAGTGGATTCCAAAATAGCTTTTAGTTGTTGAAGACAGAAAAAAAGTTGTATTTAAAAGCAAGTTAAAGAATACATTAAAACAAATTAAAAAAAACAAGGAAAAATGTACTGACTTAGAGTTAAATAATATTATTCGTGAACATTTCTATGGGACTTTATGAATTACTTCAATAATACTCAAACAACAAAAGCCGTATCACCAAGAGAGTTCCTTTGGAGTTGGCTGTTAAAGAATTTGTCCTGCATCAGGGTATGCATGAAAACAACCTGAACAGACTCAAGAGTATCTGCAAACATGAAAGTGTTTCTCTAAATTGCACTTACTGGCCTTGAATTCAGTTTAGTAGGGACAACTTGAAGCTTGTCATCCTGGACTGGGGGAGTCATTTGAAGCCAAAGGAAGGGCATTTTGCTATAGTTCATTCCTGTGGCTCCGAGTATAACACTCCATAAATTTCTCCTCAGTGCCAGGTATGTACTGAGAACTGAAAAACACATGACACTTCCTAGCCATTTCCAAGAATTCACATGATAAAGGGTAATTATTTTAGCATTTATATATGCTCAATTCTCTTAAAACCATAGATTTTATTCTAAAAAGAACAAATTCCCTGACATTAATAAACCAAGCATGTTATAAATTCTAGAATGCCAAATTAATTTTTTTCCTGCTTAACAACTAATTTCACCCACAGCCTGCAAATTATATCCATGACAAAAATTGTGTTTTGCAACATATTAAAGAAAGACCAACATTTTTGCCTGAGTGTCCCATTAGCCTTTACCTAGAGCTATTCTAGAGCTCTCTACAAACTTTTTTTTTCCAAATAATTTATTAATTATAACAACTGGGAAGAACAGTGTGAGAACGTGACTACTTCAGCCAAGTAAGGAAACAAACATCCTCTTTAAACCTGTCATATTGCCTAAATTTTTATATACTAAAATAACTCTTTTCATTTATTTTTGCAGGGGTTCCCTGAAGAAAGTAGCATTTCTTGCACATCATAAATCTCAGGTCACATATTCTCTGTTCTTCAATGTTCTGACAAAGACCTCTGGGCTTGGAACTCATGCCTGGGTGATTCAGTCTTATTTTCAATAAGAGAGATCTCCAGCACAGGCAAGAGTAGATGAAAGGCATCTTGAATGTAGGAGGCACTGTTTGATGCCTGGTAGGAATTGAAAAAAACAAGAAAAAGTAAGTATCATAATTACATAAAAAAAAAGAAAATATGAAATAAGACAACAAAAGAAGGGATTAATATTTGCAATCTAACAGAATTTTTGCAGTAAATTCTTATAAGGAAGAGAAACATTTAGCTCTTAAGATAATATGACAGCACCAAAAAGAATAGTAGCATTTTCTTCTAGCTTGCCTACTAGAAATAGGAGTTGTTTTTGGCATCCTGCTCAAACTCAACATTCAAAGCTTATTTATTCCTTGATTTATTTAGTTAGATTCTGTCCCAGCACTATAGTCAATTACTGAAAAAGGCTTTCAGAAGGCTATGAATCGGCACCAATAGGATTTCCAGCCCATTATGACAGCTCTTCTTCCACTGAGTCAATACAATCAGTGAACATGAGATATCTGCTTATAAACATAAACAAGGAACACTGCTTTCAAGATGATCCAGCATAAATATATTTCTATCTGGTGCAACAGACATATTTATGAAAAGCATTATGGAATCTCTATGATCAGTTTACCAGACAGACTTCATTTATGTCTGAAAATCTCTCACTTTTCAAACGAATAACAGATTGCTCATTACATTATGATAAAAATTATAATTTCAAGGTCAAGAGTGTTTCAAATCTGTAAGCACAAACAGCCAACTCAAATAGCAATAGAGTGCCCATATCAACTGAGATTACCTTTTCTGGATTTATCAACTAGTACTCCTATTCAAACTTTGGTGTGTATTTTTAATACATTTTCTAGCCAAAACAGAGCACAGAAGTCATCTAATTAAATCTCTTACACTGTACTTGAAATTAAAATTAATAAGACTGCCAAGAAGGGTAAATTCCTAATCCAGGATCATATAGCAAATCAGAGAAAGTTCTTTCAACTCTGTCACTCTGCCAGCTCCTAAATCACAAACATGCATTTTTATAAATTGTTTAAATGATCAAAAATGTTTCCATGAGCTATTCAAAGAAAATCATGAAAAGAATTAAAAGCATTTCTTCAATAGCAATTTTAAAATAAAGAAATAACAGGGTTCAGTGCAAGGCTCATGTGGTATAGTGCTTGCTCAGCAAGTTCAAACCCCAATACTGCCCCCACCAAAAAAAAAAAGCCAACTAGTTAAAAAAAATAACTCCTATTTAAAGCTTAACCAATGATCAATATGTACTCTCGCATTGCTTTTATTTTTGGTGGTACTGGGAGGGCACACAGAACGTCTTTACCACTTGAGCCACTTTGAATCCTTTTGCTTTAGTTTATTTTTGAGTGAGGGTCTCACACTAACTTTGTCCGGGCTGGTCTCAAATCACAACCCTCTTACCTCCACCTTCCAAGTAGCTAGGATTATAGATAAGAACCACCATGCCCATCTTGTTTTTGAGATAGGGTCTCACTAACTGGCCTCTACTGGTGATCTTCCTGATTCCACCTCCCAAGTAGCTGGGATCACAGGCATATACCACCACACCCAGCCCTAAGGCAGAATTTTTAAAACATGGAATCGAGAAACCGTCACATAGGTAGGCAATATAATTATGAGATCCTTTCATACATTCTTTTCCAAATACTTAAAATCATCTGCTCCCTAAATCTAACAGATTGATGAGGACTAGGCCAAACATATTACTTCTTTGGCAAAACAAAGATTTTTCTTTTTTTCTTTTCTTATTTTTTTTTTTGGCAAGGAAATGACATGTTTTGCTTTGTAACACCTCTCCTAAGCCTTAGTCCTTTAGGTAGTAGTGCTTGCTTATTTATAATTTCAGCACTTCGTGTTTATCAATGATCTCTGTAAGTATCTCATTACTGAGAACTGTCCATGAAGCTGCTGAGGATCTGAGTAATGACGCCTACTGCTTCTTCCATCCCCTTTTCCCTGTAATGAGCAGGGAATACACATCAGATAAACATCACACTGGTCATATCTGTACCAACAAATAAGCAAATATGGCTAAACTACCAATTTAGATTTTTTTTTAAAAAAGTCAAAAACTAAAGACTTAGAATGTCTTAGGAGTCAAAAACTACTACTAACCTCTAGAAATACTGAAGTAATCAATGGATTAAGAACATCTGCCTTTTCTTTGACCTAGAATAATGAATACAGATTTAAGTTAGCAGAGTACATTAAAAAACAGGGAGAGCAGAATCCCACTTTGAAACACACAGATATAAATAGAAGCATAGGATGACGAGACTGAAAAGAGCAAAATATCACCTCTAGATGGTGAAATTTTAAGTGCTTTAACCTTATTTTATACCTTTCTGTGTTATCCAAATTGATAGTATACTTCTAGTAAACTACTAGTGTTTCAAAGTATCTTCATTTTAAAAGAGAGGTTGAGAAAAGTACATCTGATCCCAAACTTCAGAACAATTTTAAAACAAAACATGTAAATCTGGAACATGTGCTCAAATTCAACAGTTTTTAAAACAGGCTGTTTACTGTAAGAGCATCTCATAGCAAGCCTGGGGGCTGCAAAAAAAAAAAAAAGTACAGTTTGCTCTTTAAGACAGGCTGTTTAGAAAAGTCACATTTCATGCAAATAAATATTGCAAATTTAATACTTGCATGTGTTAGCACTTTATAGTTCATTCACTAGCTTATCCTTAAGGAACACATGAAATAATTTGCCTTTATAAAATTCATTTTAAGAAACCAAGGAACTCTTTCAAAGACAATATTAAGAGGAAAAGAAAGGCTATCTCTCAGGAATAATTTAAACTCAAAATTTTTAAATTTAATTTGTGCCATGGTCTTTAAGCAAATTTAGAGCCCCACAGTAACTATGCTGCCACATTGACAATAATACACTTATTATATAGCTATATTTATTTGCTTTTTTAAAATCTTGGTAGTACTGGGGTTAAAATGCCCTTGATTATCTTAATTCATAGTCACCAGTTTCTTAATTATCATCCATAATTCACACACCTTCAATAAAATTTCTTACAATCACAATTTAAAAAAAAAAAACTTAAGGTTTACTTACAACTCTCTCACTGACTGCCAACTATATAATATGAATGTTATTACTATTTAAAGTAAGAAGCTCTCTTTAAAAACCAGAGTAAAAACTAGGGGGTTTTATTTTATTAAGGTCCATATTTCCATTACAAGTCTCAGAGGGAAAGTACAAAGCATACGGAAAGAGTTCATAAAAAGAGAACAAGGCTGACCCTAAAATGCATATGAAAATGTGCAGGGACCCAAATGATCAAAAATGTCTTGAAAAACAACAAAAGATATGGAAGACACTTTTTTGATACAAACCCACAGTAATTAAGACAATATGGTACTCACATACAGATGAAAGTCAAGAAATAAACCAATGCACATGTATGATCAACTGATTTTCAACAAAGGACCAAGACAATTCAGTGCAAGAAAGAACACTCTTTAAAACAAATGGTGCTGTGAACTAGTGGATATTCACATGCAAAAAAAATCAAGTTGGACTCCTACAAACCCACCATCCATAAAAATTTACTCAAAATGGATCACAGGTGTTAGAGCTAAAATTAAACTCAGAAGAAAACACAGAAGTAAATCTTCCTAATTTTGGGTTACACAATGATTTCTTAGATATAAAACCAAAAGTACAGGTGATAAAAGAGAATACTGAAAAACTGAGTTTTGTCAAAATTAAAACTTTTATGCAAAGGACACTACCAATAAAGTGAGGACTGGGGGCATGGCTCAAGTGGTAGAGCGCCTGCCTTGCCACCACAAGGCCCTGTATTCAAACTCTAGTACTGCAGAGGAACAAAAAAAAAAAGAAAAAGAAGAAAGTAAAACATCCCATGGACTTAGCGAAAATATGTGCATATCATATACCAGATTTTTAAAAAAAATCATACCCAGAAAAAGTTTAAAGACAAAAACAAAAACTCATACAGGTCAATAATGAAAAGACAAACAACCCAATTAAAAATGAACAAAGCCTGAGCGCCAGAGGCTCACACCTAGCTACTCAGGGTCAGAGATCAGGAGGATGGCAGTTTGAAGCCAACCCAGACAAATAGTTCACGAGACCCTATTTCAAAAAAACCTACAACAAAAAAGGGCTTGTAGAATAGCTCTAGGTATAGGCCCTGAGTTCAAAACCTAATACCACAAAAAAAAAAAACAAATGACCCAAGTAGACATTTCTCTAAAGTTATACAAACAGCTAACAAGCACATGGTAAAATGGTATCATTAGTCTTAGAGAAGTGCAAAATGCAAATCAAAACCACAGTGAAGTGGTATCCACTTCATACCCCCTAAAATAGCTAAAATTAAAAAGACAAACAATACAAGTATTGATGGATATGTGGTGAAAATGAATCCCGCATACATTACTGATGAAAATCTAAAATTGTGCACCCACTCTGGAAAGCAACTGGCAGTTTTTCAATGAGCTGTATGTATCACCCATGTGGCCCAGCAATTCTACTCCTAGCTATCTATCCAAGAGAAATGAAAAAACATGCTCACACAAAAACTCATACATGCATGTTCACAATATTCATTATAATCAAAAAGTAGAAATGGTCCAAATGTCTATCAACTGAAAAATAAATAAAATGTGGTATATATCCATAAAAGAGTACTATTCCATAATAAAAAAGAATACACACTAAAACATGAATGAGCTTCAAAAACATTCTGCTAAGTTAATGAAGCCAGACACAAAATACCACATTATATGATCTCATTTATATGAAATGTCCAGAACAGAACAAATGCAAAAACAGAAAATAAATCAGTATTGCCTTGGATTGAGGGATCATGGAGAAAGAAATGGGAAGTGAATTACAATTATGAGGATCTGGGGGATAGAGGGCAGTGATAAAAAATGTTTTAAATTTTAACTATAATAATGATGGCACATCTCTGTAAATATACTAAAAGCCACTGTGAGTTTGAAACTGTTTGAACTGTGAGTGTGAAACAGAATTTTATAGTATGTAAACTGTATAAAAAACAGCTAGACATTAACCTGTAAAAGGCATGAATTCTTACCCCAGCAGTTGTTAGGCAGGTGGTGAACTCTTTAGACAGAGAGGATAGTTCTTTACATAACATAACTGTCATCCTAGGAAAGGAGAAAGAAAAATCAGGAGAGTTCTTTTTTTCTTTCTCTCTTTTTTACTTAATAAGCTACATTTAACAATTGTCATAAGAAAAAAAATCACTCCTGTTAACACCTGTGAAAGAAGAAAGTTTTTAAAGCATAAATTCACCTAAGTCAGCTATCTAATATATTTGGGAACCCATTTGATTAGGCAATACCACAGGAAAAGGAGGTTCACTCCTTAGAAAAACACTTTTCTAGGAAATACTATCAAGTTAAATCAAAATAAATAATTAAAATGAACTTTAAGGACATAGTACTTAAAAGACCCAACATTCCATTTATAAATATAGTTAAAATAAAAGTCTCCAGACCAAATCCTTCAGGAGTCCAAAGACGAGCATGACACCACCTTCAAGGTGTTCCAGAGTGACTGTCTCTCCTAGGGTATCAGTTTGGAATACAAAATTTCATGGTCACCTTACCTAAGCAGCACAAAGTAATCCTGCTACTTCCTCTCCATATTCCATCTTGGGTTCCAACAGCTGTAGCCAGCACTTGGAGGAAAGTAAGCATTAATGCTTCTCAGTGCCCACTCCCTTCGGTTGCATTTAGATCCCTTCCTTGCCTTTCTCTGACAAATGATGCTGCCTAACCCTCTTGTTTAGCCAATGGAAGTCACACTATTCTTCTCTCCTCTACAATGACTTCTTCAGGGGTTTTCTTACAGCAACTGTCTTTTCTCAGGAACAAGACCCTGCAGACCAGTTCCCTCCCTGTTTCTAACTCCCTGGCTTTCTCCCTAAGTCCTCCAACCTGAGCCATGGAAATGGCTTCCGTGCCCTTACTCATCTCTCACTTGAATCATCAACTGTATTTATCATCTCAGCTCTTCCATACCTTCTGTAAATACTCCCTCTGCCAAATCCCAAATGTTGAGAGACTGGCCTATTTTCCTGATTAGACCCCAACAGATACATTAATGATATGTGTTTACTCATTTAATCTCAACACTGCTATGAGGTAGAGGCACCAATTTATTTTCAGTTTTCAGAAATGAACTAAGGTAAGTTAAGGCATTTGGCTACCGCCATTCAGCTTATAAGTGACATTAGTTGGGTTCCAAAGCAAATTACAGAAAACCCTAACACCAAAAATCTCCCATCTTAGCACCCTCGTATCATAGTTTTTTGGTGTCTATTGATCTTATCCTAACTGACAGTGATTTCTGGATACAGGGTATCTTTTTTTTCTTTTGCTCTTAAAAGACATAGTTTTTCCCCCCCACTCATGTGTGCTTCAATGAATAAATGAAATAACAAATACCTCTTTTTAAATAAGGCCACATTGACTAGAAAAAGAGTCTTCCTTATTGGACACATCTTTGTAACATAGCTTATCAGAAAAGCCAGGAAGCTTCCCAGATCTCATTAGATACTGAGCTTGGCACCAAATAAACACGCTAATTCCCCTGCAACCCCCAAAAGAAGTACAATTAAATTAAATATGTGGTTCACTCTTTCACTCAAAGTCTTCTTCATGCCAGGTACTATTCTAGGAAATAGGGATATACCAGTGAAAAAGTAGAGCCTCATTTTCACAAATTCTAACTATGTGCCAATAAAGGGGGGAGACTGCATATAAATACCACATACACACATATTTTGAATATGTATACAAGTAAACATATATACCTATAAAGAACCACACACTAGATAGTGATATGAGTTAAGAAAATAAATCAAAGAATTAAAAGAATGATGGGAGAGGCTATTTTTAGACTGTGATGAAGGAAGGTTTCTCTGAGAAAGTGGCATTTGAATAGAGATCTGAATACAATGTGGGAATGAGACATTCTGAAAAAGCATTCCTCCAAGTGGCAGGAATACCACTTTTCCCTACGATAGGCTACTTTGGGGTTATTTATCTCTTATCCTTAAGGGCGCTCAAAACAAAAGTAGGTCTTTCTTATGGAATGCTGTAGAACAAAAATGATATTGCAGCTGCAGCAAAGTCCAGAATATAAATAGCCCTCCCAATCCTAACACACTGAACACTCTTTTTTTTCCAATAAAAATTCTCACTTAAATCAGGAAGTCTATTGGCCAAGCATGGCAGTGCATGCCTATGATCCCAACACACAGGAGGATAAGGGAAGGGGATTGTGAGTTCAAGGTCATAATGGGCTACACAGAGCTCCTCTCTCCAAATAAAACCACCTTAGGTCTATTTAGAAACAACCATATCTTTTTTCCTCTTGGGATTACTATTCTTTTATTTTGCACTATGTTTGCTCAAATCAGCAATATGGTCAGAAAAAAGAATGGATGTGGGACTTAAACCAGTGTTTAAGTCCTGGGCTGCACAACCTGGGCAGACTACTTAACTTCTCTGAGTCTGTGTTTCCTCTTTTTTAAAGGAGGACTAATCAATTACCCTTTGTGTTGTTATAATAATTAGAAATAATACATATAAATCCCTTAGCATAGTGCCTGGCATATAATGAGCACTCAGTAACTAATAACTATTATTATGGACTGAAGTAATTGGAACTATTTTCTGTTTTAACTTATGCCAAGTTCTGCTCCTATTAAAACTAACACTCTACAAAGAAACAGTTTTTAGAGCATGAGTCAGTTAATAAAAAGGACAGGCTTATAATGTACACTTATCATAGCTAAATAAAAAGAAAAACCATGCAAAATGAACAAATCTCAAATCTGTATATAGGTGCAATGTAAACAGTATATTTTGTTAAAAGAGAAGTGTCTAATAACTTTGGAGAAAACTCCTTAGCAATTTGCATCATTTAAAAAGATATCATCGCACATACTGGGAAAGTGTTTGGCTTCTTCCTATGGCTGTCACTTCCTGCTTCTGGTCATGCAGAACCAATGCTGCTGTTTTGTGGAACAGTTCAATTGAGTAGGCAGTCAATTCTGCTAGGCTTCTGATTGCAAACGCATGGATATTCTGGACGGGAAAACAAGCAAACAAAAAAGCATAACAAAACATTAATTTTGGTTTTTGTTTTTAAAATCTGAATAGAAATGGCACTACCTTGCTTCTCTCATACTGAAGAATTTAGTATTTTAAGAGAAAAGACTAGTAATAGTTGCCCTTTAATAAACTGTCTCTTCTTCCACATTAATGATAGTTTTGTAGATGAGTTCATAACTACAAAAACAGAAGTTCCCCTACAGTTGGATGTGATCAGGTGATTAAATTTTAGCCAAAAGATTTAGATAAAAATGGCCCATGGTAGCATCTGGGAACCTTCTTCATGACACAACACATGTGCAGTATTTATTTGTTGTCGTTGTTGTTATTTTGTTGTTGTTTTTATCTTTGCTTCTCTTTTACTCCTAAATCAGAAACTAAAATGCTACAATCTTGGATCAAGGTTGAAATCACAGATAACATTGCAATAAAACAGAAGGACCCTGGGTCCTTGATTATAATACTCACATCTTAAATTTATTAAAAAAAAAAGTTACCTCTATTGAATTCTTGCTGACTTCTACAGTATTTCCTGCTTCCAGCTGTTTTTCTCCTTCTTCTTTCTCTGCTATTGGTTTGGCCAGACATGCCCTGGTCCATTCATAGGTTGCATTTCTTGCCTAAATAAGGAAAGATAGACACTGTCCAACAATTCAATTCCACTCTCCAAGATGACTGTGCACACATACGAATACATTAGCACCTGGAGATTGGGGCTCCTCTCTCACCCAAACAAACTATTGCCTTTTCAGTCCTTAACTTACTAGATAAGAACTCTTTACCTTTATTCCTTTTGTCCACTCATTTGTTTTGAAATTCTGTTTCTTTGGCTTTTTAAAAAAAAATCTAAGGTATAACTTGCATATAGTAAAGTATATAAATCTTCAGAGTACAGCTCAAGAAATACTTATATGTGGATATGCCTGTAAAACTGTGAAGCAGATCAAGATGCAGAATATTCGCATCACCCCCCTCATTGTCCTTTCTCATTCAATCCTGCTCATACAAGGTCCTCCTCCTACCCAAAGACAACAACCTTCTGCTCTGTATAAATTAGTCTTAGCTATTCTTAAAATTCATAAAAATGGAACCACAAGTTCACTTTAATTTGTGACTGGCTACTTAATGAACAATAAATGTCAGTTACTATGTATCCACGTACCAGTAATGCATTCTTACTGCTGTGCAGTATGTCACCTTATACATATACCACAATTTATCCATTCTCCTGAACATCAACCCTCAGGTTGTTTCTAATTTTCTTTGGCTTTTTTAACACCACTATTTTCTGGTTCTCCATCTACCTTTATGATCATTCCTTTTTAGTCTCTTGTAAGTATTGACTCTACTTGGCCAGTCCTTAAGCACCAGTATTATCTAGACTTCCGCCTTTACTGTCTACATATCTTACCCCACGCCCTCTCCTTGAGCACCTGCATCCATCCTACTTCAGTGTCTTTTAACTAGCCCTGACCTGCTGCCTATTCCTAGATCCTTACTTTCAGCCCTTACCTTTCCTGAAAACAAAGTATTCAAATGCCTGAGTAACATACATATCAGATATTCTGCAAGCACCTCACATAAAACATGCAAAAACTTTTTAAAGTTTTTTCTCTCCCTACCCCTGAACTTTTCATTCCTTTGTTATTCAAAACTTTAGAGGTATTATCATGTATCAGTGATCTAGTCCAAAATATGAGACAGCTTAGATTTTTTTCCTACTCTTAATTAATCACAATAGTCTGATTTTACCCAAGTATTTCTCCAGTCTGCCCCCAACTTCTTCCCACCTTCTTCAAGTGATGACCTACTGTCATCACTTGAATTCAGATCCACTTCATGACTTGTCTTCCTGCTTCTGATCTAGCTCATCTTAAATTCATTTTCATCCTCCATAATGCTATCAGTGAGCTGTCTGAAGTCTAGAGCTGACCAATCCTCTTTCAGTTAATGGTTCCTCATCAACTAGATCATGCTCCTTCATATGATCTAACAAGTCCCCATGACCTATACCCTACTGAAAGGGTAGGAAAGTGTGGGAGTAAGTGGTTGAAGATGGCTTGAGTTTGGGTAGCCAGGAAGGGTCTCTAACGTGTGAAATTTGTAACAAGGACTTAGACATACAAATTTTTAGGCAAAGAGAGCTGTAAGCTCAGGAAAATCAACTTAGTATATTTGAGGAACAGAACAAAGATCAGTATGAGAAAATGGACGATGAGAGAGCATGGTAAGTGGTAAGAGATGAGGTTAGAGTTTTATAGAAGAGAATAGTGAGATGAGTCTGGAAAAGTTCCTAACAGTTGACAAATAGTCCAGTATGTGAAATTCTTTGCTACCTCTTCTAATTGATAAAATGAGAGAGAAAACAATTAGAGATTTAAAAAGAAAAATAGAGAGCAGTAAGACCACATAAAATTTTTAAAAAACTGATACCATAAATTTAATATGCTCAAAGGGGATATTTAGTGGGCATAATGACCTCTCTTGTAATAATCCAGTAAGTGAAGTCATCATAAGCTACTATGCTAACTCAAGATAGTCTGCCATTATTTTTCAAAATTATCACTATCATGCTCCCCTATGATTCAGTCTGGAACTTCTCATTGGTGAGATATAGAGACTTAGGAATTAAAAGTACCTCAGAGCTTAAATTTCTCTAACAACTAATTTTTTTTTCTAGCTCAAAAATAATGAAGCCTAAAGAAGGAATGGAATTTTCCTAAGGTCATATCACATATGAGTATAAAAATAAGAATCAAGAGTCATATTCCTAGACTCCCACTTCAGTGCTCTTTTCCATACATCACACATATTAGGACAATCAGGCTCTGATCCTTAACCATCAAAATCTCAATGCCCAATATTCAAATAATCTGAAAACTGTTTTCAGAGAATAGCTAGAACTCTCAGACACAGGAGATGATGAGACAAAAACTCACTGGCCTTTTAAAAATATTTATTAATGTGATTTCCTTAAACAAGGAATGGTGACTTTCTCATCATTATTTCTCAACACCTAGCAAATTACTGAGCAAATGTTTACTTACTGAACATCTGTATGCACAGGACACATGGGGCTAGCTTCTATGGGGCCATCAACAGGGAGTATTTATTTACATTGAGCCAGGCACTTTGGGTAAATAAACACATTTAATTCTTGTAAAAACGCTACAATATTTTTCCCACTTCACAAGCAAGGTAACTGGGGCAAATAAGTTAAGCAAATTGCTCAAGGTCACACAGAAGAGAGGTAGTAAAACTAGGATTTTAAGGACCGATTATGTGTAGACTTTGACTTCAAGAAATTTAACATTTTAGGGGGGTAAAGAGGGAAAAAGTAAGGGAGAGTAATAGAAGGGGTTAATCTGATTAAAGTACAATATATTCATGGGTGAAATACCATGGTTAAATCCCTTTGAACAATGAATATACACTTAAAAAATGAAGGATGGAAATGTAAAACAGGTCCCTGTTAGGGGATGAGTACAGTGAGGAGGGGGAGGGTAAATGGAGAAGGTAAAGGAAGAATGAATATGGTTGATGGACTTTATATACTTTGTATGAAAATAGAACAATGAAACCTGTTGAAATTATTTAAGTATTGGGAAAGGGAATGAGGAAGAATGATGGTAGAGGTGAACGTAACCAAGATACATTGTAAGCATATATGAAAATGTCATAATGAAACCCTCTTACACAACTAATAAATGCTAATAAAAACATTTTTAAAAATTAAAAAGAACTTTAATATTTAGGCTAATAGGTAAGACACACACATTTAATAAAAACTATGATGTTTATAAAAATACATATGCACATGATCAAGTAAAACAAGTAGAGTGTTGCTACTCAGGAGGCTGAGATAGGAGGATCCCAGTTCAAGGTGAGCCCAGTGAAAGTTAGCAACACCCTATCCCAAAAATAAGCCAGGCATAGTGGCATACTCAGGAGGTAGAAGTAGGAGGATTGTGGCTCGAGGCCCACCCAGGCAAAATTGCAAAACCGTATCTGAAAAATAAACTGAAAAAGCAACAAAAGGACCAGGGGTGTGGCTTGAGTGAGAAGGCACTAAACCGAGGTCCTGAGTTCAATCTCTGCAGTGCCACAGGAGAAAAAAAAAGTACAGTGCTAAAGGACACTAGCTTTTGTGTAAGAGGAAATAAAAAAAATACACCTGCTTATCTTTACAAACGGAAACACAGGAAGGATAAGCCAGGAAATAAGAAAATTTAAACCTAAAATGAGAGAAAAGAATGGCATAAAAGGAAATAACATTTCTCTGAGTATATTTTTTTGTACAATTTTGACTTTTAGAAGCATGTTAATATATATTCAAAATTTAAATTAACATGAGGGGACAGCAAATAAATTACAAATTCTTTTTGTAGGCTGAGTTTATAGTAGTATGGATAAAGCAATGAAATTATTTCAGATTAAGGGAAATTGCTAATGTTGAAAAGTAAGGTTCTCAACTTCCAAGAAAGAAGATGGGAGATACAAGCACGCAGGGAAAGGCAAGGATAAACTCCATAGGAGTGGATTAAAACTGTAGTTATCAGTGTAATCTCATGATTTCTAAAATATGTATATATGTACATGAGCATATCTGTCTCTACATACATCATTGAGTCAACTGACAAAACTAGAATGTGGACAAAAGATTAAACAAAAGTAGGGTATTATGTTAAATTTAGTGAAATTGAAAGTAAAGGACTATGAAGTTTACAACTTAATCTAAAATGACTACAAAAATAGTAAGACATTTTGCCTGTATCCACAAAGAGAGAACACATATATGGGCAAACACAAATGATGAAGTGTTAACAACAGTGAATTTGCATAAAAGGTATACAAATGTTTTTTTTCTCTCTCTCTCTAAATTTGACATATTTTTGAAACAAAAAGCACTGTAATACACAAGGGGGAAGTGTTATGAGATGTGGGAGATGAGCTACAGAGCAGTGGTCTGAAAAACTTTCTTAGAGAATGCAGCAGTTTCACTGAGTATAGGAGACTGGGTAAAGTAACAGCATCATATTCCTTACCCTGTGACATGGGAAGGAAGGCAGAACTATGATGACTAAAAATGGTGATCAGCTCTCTCTAGCCAAGAAGCAGTATGTGCCTAATGCTGACTGGTTTCTGAAATGTCTCTTGAGAATAGGAGACCATGACCCAGTGAACAATGTCCCACAAGCAGGAAACGGAATATACTGCTAGGCAAGTACTACTCTGGAAATAGGACCTTCCTACCCACTATGAATTTGACAAAAGTCTCTCTGTGTTTCAGATGTATAAAGACAGCTCACGACTCACCAACAAAGACCAAGACTTAGGCCAATGGACCTTCTCATTTCCACACACTAAATAGTCACTATTTGAGTCACTGGGATCTGACAGAGGCAATCTCCAGCTCCACGTGGGGAGAGAGGTCACTTCTTATCATCTCTGAATCATTCAGAGCCCAGAGATCAGTTGAAGCCTAAACAGAGGTTTGTCTTTGATGCCGCTAAGTTTGGTCAGCATCGCCAACTTTATATAGCTAATACTGTTTCCAAAATTAAGTTTTCAGACAAATAAAGCCTTCCAAATATAAATAGGTGAGACTAAAACATTTGCTAGGGTACAGAGGACAGATATGGATTAAGCACACTAACTAAAGAGAAGGAGACAGGGAGGTGTGGAACCACAACCCTAGCCAAAAACTTACAGTCTTCATCCACTAAATTCTTACAAAAAAAAAATTAAAATCAAAATCAAGGCTAGGCACCGATGGCTCATGCCTGTATTCTACCTTCTCAGGAGGTAGAAATCAAGAAGATGGTGCTTAAAGGCCATCCCCTGCAAAAAATTCAAGAGACTGCATCTCAACAAACAAAGCTAGGGACAGTGATGCCCACCTGCCATCCCAGCTACTGTGGGAAGCATAAAAAAAAGATCTGTCATCCCAGCTGGCTTGGAAAAAAAACAAGACCCTATCTCAAAAATAACCACAGATAAAAGGGGGTGAAGATGTGGCTCAAGCAGTAAAGCGCCTGCCTAGCAAGCAAGCAGGAAGTCCTGAGTTCAAACCCCAATCAGTACTGCCAAAAAAAGAAAAAAGGATAATCACCAAAAAGTAATAGCTTACCCTGGCAAGTTTTTCTGGTTTGGAGGAGATGTGCAGCTGGGTAAATAGCTCTGTTATCTCTTCTGTAAAATCTTCATCACCTGAAAAACCAAGTCCCATGTAAAACATTCCAAAAAACTGCTATGGATTATGAGAAGGAAGAAGAGGAAGAGGGGTAGTAGTAGCAGCAGTTTTAATAACATTACATGCAGAAGCCACAATTTATATGAACATGATACTTGAGTGTTTTCAGAATCTTTTTGTATAGTATAGCAACAGGCTTATAAGAAAAGTGTCATTACCGTATTTTAGTGAAGGAGAAATGAGGGCTAGAAGAGATTAAGTGATTTTCCCAGTATCTCATAGTAAAGATTATGAGTCAAACCTTGGCCACCCCACTCTCAGTGGTCTTTGCATCACATTTCAGAAGAATGCATGGAAAAGTAGTAAAGGCAATGTACTAAGCAGGTACTGAACACGGGTTTCCAAGGAAATGGAATTCAAGTTGGGACATTAAGATGAGTACAGTTAGGAGAATGAAAGAGTTTCAGGAGGAGAAAGCAAGTACAAAGATCCAGGGGTAAAAGGATGGCAAGAAGTTTAATACAATTAGACTGTCTAATGAAAGAAGGATAGAAGAAAGCTAGAAAGTTAAGTAGGATCCAAATAAAAGAGGAGCTTTATAAACCATGAGGAATTCAACTATAGAAAGTTCACTTTGGTTGCTGGTTTGAGAGTGGCTTAGAAGGAAAACAAAAAAGAGGCGAGGCTGAGGCAAGAATCCATGATCCAGGTAGAGATAACAATGGATCAAGAAGAGAAGGAAAACAAATTCCAGAATGTTGGAAAGGTGGAAAGGAAGCTATGCAGTTAGCCTGATGAGAGATGAAAGGGAATACAGAACACCTCACTTCAGAAACATACAAGCAAATAGGTAAGTCAAAATCAAAACATAATCAAGACATTAGATAAATGACAGAAAATGCTCTTACCCGCTCTACGTAACTAAACCCTATCCATTCAACCCTTTAAGGCCAAGCCCAAAGCTTCAAACATGGAATGCAGAAGAGAACTCTTGTACACAGAAATCTTTTAGTACTTACAATCAATAGGATTATTTCTCAATCACCAGTCTGTAGCTTGCAAGGACAAACTATTATTGCTTAATACCTGCCATCCCCAATCCCCAAATCCACAGGGGGTGGGGGGAATGTATCTTGGCTCTTCTCTTTCCATGCACTGTAATTCTGTCCTCCTCTCTTGGCATTTAAGCCAGAAAATTTAAATGGCTTAGTGATTCCAAGTATAACATGGTTTGTAAAAAGCTGCTCTACTACAACCCTGACCTACATAACTCATTTAACAATTCCTAATCATATCCTACTATGAAATATCTAAAACCTAACTCTTAGGTAAACATTTTGTCTTACCAACTAAGCTCTAAATTATTTGGGTGCAAGGAATGAATCTAAATTCACAGTGGAATGAATTCACCACCAAAGGATTCACAAAATAATCCAGTGGCATGAAGGAAAAAAATAATGGAGTTTTATTTGATATTTCATTCTATAAAGAATTCTATCTGTGGGTATATTCTAGAATATAAACAATAATATTACGTTAGCATGTGTACTTAATTTATAAACACTCAAATACATATATATTATGTCTGAGTGTTCAATAAACCTTTACTGCTAAGAGTTTGCAATCAAAAAATGTTTGCAGGGCTAGCAAAGTGACTCAAGTGATAAAGCTGCCTACCTAGCAAGTGTGAGGCTCTGAGTTCAAACCCCAATACTGCCAAAAAAAAAACAAGTTTGGAGATCACTGCCAGGTACTCTCCACAAAACTGAGTATAAAAGTAGTTACTGAACTGGGGGTGTGGCTCAGTGATAAAGAATGCTTGCTTGCGGCCAAGTTTGAGTAAGGAGTTGGATGGGAATAGATGTTGCACTGGAATGCAAGTGTGTAAAGATGGAAAAGAAACAGGGTTAGTACTTTGAAAGGATTCTGGAGAGAAGATGGGAGCTTCCCAAGCATGAAAACTGTGTCTTACACAAGAGTCAGGTATATAAGAGGGAAAAGGGATAAGGATGCTTATGGAAAATGAAGATGACCAATAATCAGAATCAAGTTCTATGCTTTTCTCTCCCCTCTGCTACCTCGTTTTTCTTTTTTCTTACAACTCATTGAGACATAATTAAACACCAAAATTACTGCAGCATTCTCAACCAAAATCAATGACGGAGAGTTGGAGCAGGGCAGGGAGGGGAGATGTGCTGAAATCACATCTCTGGTGAATAAGTAGGAGAAAAAATATCACAGACACAAACCAATCTGTTTAGAAAATTCCTTGGAGTCCTCTGAATGGTATTTAAAGATTGGGATCTCCAATTACTATACAAAACCAGATGTTGACTAAATTGAACAAATACTGTTTATTGAACCATGTACAAATAAATTCAGCTTATAAATAACTGGGAACTGTCATACCAGGACTTGGTTAGGAGAAATGAGCTACTTAAGCAAATCAAAATGACTTTATGGGTTTCCTGCTAAGTGAGACTCTAAAATGCAGATTTTTCTCTATTTATTTATATCTTCCTAATAATGAAAATAACAGCCACCATTTGTTAATGGTGCTTAATATGTGCCATACATTAAATATAGTATTTCTTTTAGTCTTTATAACAGACTGAGAGGAATTAGATCCTCTTTTTATTAGATGAGGAAACAGTTCAGTATTAAGTAACTTCTCAAGGTCACTTGGCTAAATAAATGGTAGACCTTCATTTAAACCCAAGACCAACCCCAAAGCCCATTCTTTTATTCCATTCATTATGCTGAACTGCTATCTCATTATTATAAAACAGCTTTAAAAACCATTTTCTAACTCCTTGCAATATGGCAGCTGAGTAACTACATCTGGCTTCTCCTCTAGCAGACACACCTTACTGAACAACTCTTCTCACACCTGATTCCCTGCTGTTAGGAAGTTAGTGCCAGTAGCAGAGTAGTATTGATTCCATCAACATTCCATCAACTCCCCTGTAGCCATGGGAGAACACAGATCCGCAGAGCCAGGCACAGAAGCAGCAATGTAGTCAGACTTTCAGGTGATATGGAAAAAACTGGTGAGAAAAACTGCAGGCAGCAGACCTGCTATACCATCTGTATCACAAAACCTCCATGAAACAAAAGATAGAGCCCTAAGGTCTAACTGAGCGCCACTACCTGTCACAGCTCCATCTAGGAAATCTCGGAGTTTTGAACCTAAGCAGCAGGACAGGAAAAGTACTAACAAATGCAGAGCAGAGCATTGTAGCCTCTAACCCAGGAAACAACTGCACCAGTGCAGAGAACAACAGGTGGTGAGCCGGCAGGAACCTAGGAAAAGGAAGAGCCATAAGTTAAGTGGGAAGTGAATGGGAGTTGAAAACCCAGATACCAGAAGCCTTCACTGGAGACTGTATTCAAATATTGAAGTCCCCTCCCCCCATGCTGAGAAACCAGACCAAAGCAAAAAGGACACAAGCCACTTAAAAAGATCTATAATGAGCAATGAAAACTGAAAAAGAAATAATCTCCCAAAATGAAAAGCCCAGGACTAGACGGGACTCACTGAATTTTACTAGACCTTTAAAGAAGAAAACCAATCCTCCTCAAACTATTGCATAAAAATAGAAAGGGAAGGAACACTTACGAAGCCAGTATTGCCCTGATACCAAAACTCAATAAGGACACAACAAAAAAAGAAACTATACATCAATTTCCTTGATGAACATAGACGTAAAAATTCTTAATAAAATATATGCAAAACAAATCCAACAATATATTAAAAAGACAAGTAGGTTTCATTCCAGGAATACAAGGATGGTTCAACATCAGTAAGTATAATACAATGCACAAACAGAATCAAAGACAAAAATCACATTATCATCTCAACAGATGCAGAATAACCCTTCAACATCCTTTCATGATAAAAGCTCTAAGGAGCTATGAATAGAAGGAATACACCTCAACATAATAAAAGCTACATATGACAAAACTATAGCTACCATGGCACTAAATGAGGAAAAACTGAAATCTTTTCCTCTAAAGTCAGGAATGAGATAAGGGTATCTACTCTTCCCACTCTCACTCATCATAGTACTGGAATTTCTAGCCAGAGAAATGAGGTATGAGAAAGAAATAAAAGTCATTCAAATAGGGAAGGAAGAAGTCAAATAACCCCTATTTACATATGATATGATCCTATACTCAAAAGACCATAAACACTCTACCAAAAAACTCCTACATTTGATAAACACTTTTAGCAAAGTAGCAGGATATAAAACTAACAAACCAAAATCAGAAACTTTTCTATACACCAATAATGAAAATGCTGAGGAAAAAAAATCTGAAAATGAATTCCATTCACAATAGCCTCAAACAAACAAAACAAAACCACCTAGGAATAAACTTAATTAAAGGTATGTAAGACCTCTACAATGAAAATTATAAAACCTTGAATAAAAAAACTAAAGAAGACACCAGAAGATGCAAACATTTCCCATGCTAACAGGCAATATTAATACTGTGAAAATGGCTATGCTACCTAAAGTGATCTATAGATTCAATGCAATCCCCATCAAAATCCCAAAGTCATTCTTCACAAAAATAGAAAAATCTATCCTAAAATTCATAGGGAAGCATAAAAGATCCCAAATAGACAAAGCAAGCCTAAGCAGAAAGAGCAATGTTGGAGGTTACAATGCTGGACTTCAACTCATACTATAGAGCAATAGTAACAAAACAACAAGGTACTGGCACAAAAGCAGACATGAATACCAATAGGACAGAATACCCAGAAATAAGCCCAATTGCTAGTCAGTTGTTTTTTGACAAAGGAGTCAAAAACATACACTGAAAAAAAGCCTCTTCAACAAATGGTGCTGGAAAAACTGGTTATCTACCTGCAAAAGACTGAAGCTAGACCCTTATCACTCACCTTGTATAAAAATCAATTCAAAATTTATCAAAAATCTTAATGTAAGACTTAAAATTTAGAATCTACTAAGGAAAATGCTTAAAGATATAGACATAGGCAATTATTTTCTAA